ACACTTGACAGATTACAATCTGATTCTTGAATTCGAATCCCGACGTGCACCAATGTGACATTCGATTTTCATAAATAATTTACCCAACTTCCTTACGATGAAGGAAAACATCGTAATGCAACCTGCATATATAGGCGAAGTAATCAAAGATATGGGTAGTCAACCAACTCGCATTACCCAGCGTTGACAAAGGCCTAGTCACCTTAACTTAGGGTAGGCTCCGAGCCGTTTAGTGGGGACATAGTGAACATAATGATGAATGATTTCTAGAATATTTAAATATAGGATCCGAGCCCCTTAGTGAGGATATATAGTGATAATTTCTAGAATGTTTGAATACTGACGGCATGCAAATGTGCGTTGGATCCGGCGCCCTCGCTGGCGACGCGGCGTGCGGCGGCCGCATCGTAGTAGTACATCTGGCAGTCGTCGTCCGACACCGAGTCGTCGTTGGAGACGCGGCGACGCGCGTCGTCCGACGACACGGGTGGCGAACTGGACGCGTGCGAGTCGGTCTCGCCGCCACTCTGCTGCAGTATCTCTTCTTCGTTCTCGCAGAAACCTACATATGATATAACTAATTATGTAACGGCTATCACTCACGTCTACCTTTCTGGGGAGAACCGACTAGTTTCAGACCCATCGGGGGTCTATCTTTCGACAAATAGACACGAGTTATATAATTAGTTATAATAATGTCTCATGAAAGTTTTAACAATCTAATTGCATACGAGATGTTTAACTATTGTACACACATACTATATGGAAATTGGTCTGTGTTTACTATTGAAAAAGTCCTATTTCGTTGCATTTACGTTGCAGATAAAACGAATCCATTTTTTCATTTTTGTTTGTTCATTCAGAAGGCCGCGTTAATTCCGAATATCCAGAAAAACCCCTCCCTATATGGCGGAAAATTTGCGCACATTAGAACGTGATGTTGAATGAAGTGCCAGCGACTTTTACATTATTTCTTTTTCTTTCTGGTGTCCGCTATTAATGAATCCCTCAAGAAAACCAAAGAAATAAAAAAATGTATTGTTTACCTTCAGAAGATACACTGGAATGATTGCCATCTCCCAGCGATCCAGAGTCTCGCGGCGGCACGTTGGAATTCACTCCTGATCCTGACGGCTGTAAAAAATAACGATTTTGTATATTTTCTTTTGTACAATAAAATTTGAATCTACTAGCTGTTGCTCGCGACTTCGGCCGTGTGAATTAAAAAGAAATTATAAAAAATGTATCCGATGTAGCTTTCTAATGGTGAAAGAATTTTTGAAATCGGCTTAGAAGTTTTTGATTTTTTTTTAAATTACAAATATTTCCTATTCTTTATAACTTTTGTATAGATAAAAGTACAATAATAAAATTTGCTATTTGATAACTTTTAAATTTTTTATAATGAATTTTAAAGTTTACCTGATTAGATGGTCCTGCTATAGCCATATCGACATTAACGCGATTAGTCCTGTGCGACATAGAGCGCTGGCTTTGCACCGGCTCCTGGCTCGACAGCCGATAGTTCAACGACATTTCATTGTTTAATACTGCTTTTGATGAATGGACCTGCAAGTATTATAAGTATTAACAAAACCTATACTTAAACTTTACATTTTTACATGTTAAAGAAACAAGATTCTCCTATAAACATAAATAAAAGACAAAGCAATTTATCTGTTTACAATGAGACTGAAACAATCTTTGATTTATTTTACACGATAAACAAAATTTACTTTAGTAAAGTTAGATAAACTAAAAAAAAATCTTTAAAATTTAATATTCTTTATTAAACTACATTTAGTTTATTTAGTTTAGTTTATTTAGTTTATTTAAGAATTTTTTTTCAGATCTATCGACTAAAACATACCTGATGGACACTATCATTGTGTTTTTCGGTATGACGGAAAATGGTGAACGGGCTGTGGTACAACGGATTGAGGT